CCCCCGAATGTTGTCGCAGTCGTAGTGCTCCCTCGCAGCCATCGCGGCATTCGTCGAGTTCACCACCACCGACAGCTTCCTGCCGCGCACGCCGGTCACGTTCCTCAGCATGCGGTGGGCCGCCATCTGCTGGTAGGAGAAGCCGAGTGCGTGGGCGATCTCGTGCGCGGCGATGCGGGTGGCGAGGCGTCCGTGGAACAAATTTGCCGGCGCCAAGTTCACGGCGCCGACGATTGGGCGGCCATTCTCCAGCGTGGCGCACGGCAACGCCCACACCCCGCCCGGCGCAGCGGCGACGTAGAGCACCATGTCGGCACTGTCAACGCCCGGGGAGCGGTGGGCGGCGGGCACTGTAAACTGGCCGCAAACGCTGTCAGCGGCAAATTCTGGCACCTTCAGCGGCCCCTTCAGCGGCTGCACCAGCAGTCGCTCCGCGTGCAGCTTGACGGCGGCAGGGACGACGCCCCCGACGAGAAGCTTCTTCTTCCAAGAAGGCAACTCATCGAATCTGCAGTCGGCGGAGGCGTCGCCCAGCAGATTCGGCTTGGAACCCCTCGAAAAGCTGCAGTACTTCCTGGTGTTCTCCAGGTCCCCCGTCGACACCGCGATGCGGATCGGCGCCCAGCCTTCCGCCACGGCAACGTACTCCCCCGACTGGGGCTCTCCCGGCGCGGGGACGGACTTCACCACCACCGGTGCGGACTTCAATTTGCCATTCCCGCGCACCACCGCGTCGGAGGTGCAGGTGTACTCCAGCGATGCGGCACGGCAGCCGCCGCCACAACACACCGCCGCCACCAGCGCCATCACCACCAGCAGCCGCGCGGACTGCGAGGCGGCGCGGAGAAAATGCAGCATGGCGTGTGCGCAAAAGAAACGCTTCTTCACCTGTTCGGGCAACGAACGACTGACGACTTGGACAGGGGAAAAAAGCGGGGAAAGAGAAGCAAATTCAAAAAGAAGACACCAGCGCCCGCGGGGAGGAGACGTCAGCGGCTGAGGCTGTAAAACGGGCACAGATCACCCAAAACACACACAAACATAAGCGGAGGAAAATAAAAAACAAACAAACCCCGCGAAGTGAAGCCGAAGCGTGGGGGCGCGTCCACCGAGCAGTGGGGACGCGCAGCAACACATGGGACGACCAGCACACAAACTCTCTCTCTCCGCTCCCGCACAGCCCACTCCAGGAAGAGAGAGAGAGGGGTCGCCCACTGAAAGCAATGGAAGCAAACAAACAATAAAGAAGGATAAAAACAGTTACGGTGCTGTACCCACGCAGCCAAGCAGGACGGCAGCGGCTCATCAGGGGGCAAAAGAAGAAGAGGACCGACGAGCCTGCATGAGTGGAGTTGTGTACAGTTATGAGCACATTATGTGTTGTCTGCCTCGTGGGGTGGTGCGA